CTCCCACAGCCAACACCCACCCACCCACCCACACCCCTAACATGCCACTCCCAACCTCAATAAACACCTCCCCTCTCAACACCCATAGCCCCACCATCCTGGCCCCACATCAACCATCCATTTCACAACCCCACACTTCATCAATTCCTACCAATTTCAGCCACACACCATCCACCACCTTCAACCAACTGGTTGAACTCCACAAAACACACTCATACCATCAACGCCAACAAACCATCCTCAATAAACACATCAATCATCACACAACACCTACTGGTTTAACTATCAAGTTACAACCCTGGACTCAGTTGTCCCCAGAACACCAACAAGCATGGGACAACCACATCCAAAACTGCCAAACACAACTCACCTCCATACTACACCAGCACCACACTCAACAATTGGAAAAAATTGGAGAAAGCATAGCCACACTCTCCAAATCTGTCCAAAACACCTACACAAAAGGCGTCTCTACCACCATTCTCGACATTGCCAGCACCTCCAATCAAAAACATAAACAAAAACAAAAAAAAAGCCGCCACAAGTCCACCCTTCAACCACCATACAAACGCACCAAATCCACACCACCCACCCACCAAACAACACCACACGCCCACCAAACAACACCACACACCCACCAAACAACACCACCAACCCCCTCGGGTTTTCGGAAACGGCCACAACCCCATCCCAAACCGACACCTCCACCCATCAAACCAACACAGACACCCATACCAATGTCCAACGAGACATTAACAGCAACCATCCGCAAACGCCTGGGGGGGGGGAAACAGACACAGTTCCCCACCATATACAACATGTTCATGAAAGAAAAGCAATAAAAGCATTCTTTCATGACACCACTCGACGGAAAGCCACCCCAAATAACACGACTAAAAACGAGGTTGTAACTGATGAGGATCGTAACAAGTTCAAACCGACTGTGTGGAAACATTAGTTGAGGAAATTGAAGTAGTAATTTATTATGGAATTGATGTTGCTGGGATTACTCCCCCTAGGAGCCTAAAGCTGAGCAAGTCTTGTGAAATCTTCACCCTATGTGCTGGCCAAACAATTGCCTCTGTCTCTGTCTAATGGTGATGCAAAATCTGACTTTACTCATATATATAATTGTAAATTAATTAATTAATTAATTCCTTAATTTTTTAAAGTCCAAACTTTTCCACATGCTACAAAATTTGTCAATTGTCTTTGGGTCCAGAAAGGCAAGTAAGAAGAACATCGATTTGGTGCATCGACTTAAGGTACATACTGTCAACTATAGTTAAATATTCTTATTGTTGACTTTCTCATTTAGATTTTTTTCTAATAGTATTACCTTAATTACTGATATTCAATATTTGATTTTAAGGATCATGAAGCTCCAGAGCAATGGTGCTTTAGGCGACCTGGAACCATTCCAGTACTGCTTGTTGTAAAATCGAAGCTTTATCTGATTTCGGGGAAAAGGATTGTTTGTGAAATGGACATCATGCTCCTAAAGGAAGCGGTGGTTGCCTTGCTGTCCACCTTCTACTTACTAGATTTGGACTACCCACGTACCCAAGAGATCGGTTTGAGTATTTACAATACTTTATTTTTAATGACTCTAATGTGCCAGAAGACATTACATCACACTTTAAATTGGCACTGGACAAGTACAACAACTTTAAGGATGAGTCGCAGTAAATTATGAACACTTGAACAGCTGAATGCATGTCTATATAGGTTTTGCTTGATATTGCGCGGTATATATGAAACAAAGCTTTAGCAGTTACTATACGAGGCACAGAGTAAGTAATACAGTAGATACAGAGATATACTATGAGTACAAGATTCGTCATTCCCACGGGTTGTTTGCTTACGCCATAAGCCAAAACTGGTAGTCGTTGGGCTTTTGAGTACGAGTTTTTAGGAAGATTTCGTACTCAAAGCTCATGCAACGACTGCGAGTTTTGGCTAATGGCGTAAACAAACAAAGCGCGAGAATGATGAATTTCGTATTTGTGTCGCTGCTAAAGCTCCCTATTATACGTATGTTCAACATTGTTACTTCTATGTTCAACATTGTTCAGTACTCCTATTTTATAATATAACTGGTTGATAAATTGTCAAATTTTGCATCTATATAGCTTTTTTCAAAAATATCCTGTTATTGGCTTAAGAAATCTTTTTTAGGTAATAAGCATTTATTCCTGAAATAAGAACTTTTTCAGTCCCAGCCTTTCTTATCTTAAGAAAAAAATTCTTAAGAAAATTAGTAAGAAAATTTTCTTATTATTCTCCCAAGAAAATTTGGACTTGTTTTAAGAAATGAGTTATTTTTCTCTTGAAATAAGAAATTGATTTTTTGCTGTGTGAAGACTTATTGTAAATCCTCAACCAATACCCATATTCGTGTCTACCTTGATAACACGACCGCCATCGCAGTAATTAATCATATGGGTACTAGTCACTCCCCAAATTGCAACACTCTGGGTAAACGTATCTAGGAATGGTGTATCGGCCGAACTATTTGGTTAACTGCTGCTCATATACCAGGAGTTGACAATACTATAGCCGACTCTGAGTCACGCAACACTTTGCTCACACTGAATGGATGATTGACAGCTCAATCCTTAAGGGTGTTTTCACCCACTTTGGATTCCAACCAAACATTGATATTTTTGCATCACGCCTTAATACTCCATTTCCTACCCACGTGTCATACCGACCTGACCCAAGTGCAATCGCGGTAGATGCATTCACACAGTTCTATGCTTTCCCTCCATTTAGTGTCATAGCCGCATTACTGCAAAAAATCCAGGAAGAGGAGCGACGGGGGTAGTGATAGTGCCAAACTGGCCAACACAACCCTGGTACGCCAAAGCCATGCAAATGTGCCGACAACCTCCAGCACGCGTGGGTCCGGGGAGAAACCTGTTGAAATTACCCGGTCAACTTCGGGAGTTACACCATCTACAGAAGTCGTTTCTGTAACCATAATTATTTTATTTAATGTTATCTTCTTGTTTTTGTATACGTGTAAAAATAAATCTGATTCTGCTAGTCTGCAACTTATCCGGCAACAGCTGATTGCCCAAGGGTGCAACAGTTAATATTATAATGGCGTCATGGCGTCAGGCAACAGGCAAACAATACAAGTGTTATCTTTTAAAATGGATCAGATTTTGCAAAGACAATGACATAAAATTGATATCGAACGAGCCAACATGCAGGATGGGCTCGAATTTCTTACATTCTTATACAAACAAGGAGTAGGCTACAGCGCGGTTTGCACTATCTGCACTGATGGCTCTGAATAGCAAGCGTACGTTTGGCGAACACCCTTTGCAACGGTGAAGCGATTTCTCAAAAGTATATTCGAGATTAAACCATCCCTCCCCCGATACTCGATCGTGTGGGACGTGGGCACAGTCCTTAAATACTTGCAGTCCTTTCCTGCCATGAAGGAGCTACCTCTATTAATGTTGACGAAAAAGTTAACAACTTTATTGGCGCTCTTAACTGCACGATGCCAAACCTTATCTAGCTTAGACTTCGATTTCATGCAGGAGCCTGATGATGGAATTATATTTACAATATGCGAGAAACTAAAAACCACGAAGGCGGGAAAGCATCTCCCGCCTATCAAGTTAAAAGCTATCCTGAGGAGATCCGCATCTGCCCTGTAGCTCATATTAAGCACTATATTATTAAAACTAAACCTATGAGAGCTGATTCCAAATTGCTACTAAGTCTAACCATTAAAACCGGTTACAAATTCGACAATTGGTCGTTGGGTAAAACGTGTCCTCCAAGGCTCAGGCATCGACATAAACAATTCAGCTCACAAAAGCCGGACGGCGTCCTCGTCTTACGGATTCCTATCTGTGTTGTCCCTTAAGGACGTACTCAAAGCTGGCGGGTTGATAAATGCAGAAACATTTGCCAAACATTTAAATAAACCAATCGTCTCCAATTTTTGAAACAGCATACTTAATCATTTTAATAGCCAGGATAACAATGATCGCGAATGACTTATATATCTTGTATAGCTCTGATAATAGCGACCTTAAGATTAGACGACGGTTAGTGGAGATGACGGTAACCGGAAATGAATTGAACTATTGAGCATGCGCAGTAAATGTTTTGAAAGAAATTGCTCCGTCCACATCACGACGACGACGCCATTTTTGCTGTTTTGCCGTTCACTAGAAAACGCCTCTTACTTTTCATGGATCCAAAGCCGTAAGTTTATTAATTTTTGTCTTTCTCGATTTGATGGAGAAATATGATTTTCCTGTGTGAGTTTTTCGTCGAATCAATGTGTAAATTTCGATTTTTCCTTGTATCTTTTAAGGAGGCAAATGGTTTGGTCGCGAGACCATGACGAGCTGTTGTGCAGGGAAATCCTGGTCGTAGATCCCTTTACAGGCACAAGGCGAAGGACAGTACAGAGGGGCACTAAATGGAATGAGATTGCACAAAATCTCAACAGCGTTCAGCACGTATCGTTCCGAGTCAACCAAAGGTCTGTGAGAGAAAGATACAACTTACTTGCAAGAGAATTTCGAAAGAAAACGAAGGACGAAGAATCGGCCAGTGGCATCGAAATTGATGACGTTAGTGAAATCGATAAGGCCCTTGAGGATATCGTAGAAGTTGAAGATGCAGCAGATCAAAATCAGCAGGATGTTACTGAGCAAAAATTGCAAAAAGAAAATAAAGATCGAGAAGATGCTGAATCGATTCGATTAATGGCCATGGAGACGTTGGGTGAAACTCAAAAACGAAAACTCGTTGATAATAAAGCCAATAAACCAGTAAAAAGGCGATCAAACGGCAGTGATGCAGTTAATTATTTGAGGGAAAAATCTGCTGTAATGAATGAGTGGAAAAAAGAAGAGTAGATTTGCAGAAACGGAGGCTGGAAGCTGATAGCAAGAAACATGATGAACTCATGCAAATGATGATGAATCAACAACAAATCCAACAACAACAACAAAAGCAACAAAATGATCTTATTCTGACTTTGTTAACACAGCTGAGCCATAGAAAGTAAGCTATGACAAACTATTATATATATAAAGTGTTCATATTCCATTTTAGCTTGGACTATATTGAAATATAGTTTCTAAAAACTGTTAGTTTTTACATAGTATTTAAAAAAAACAGTGAACATTGTTTTGTTATTCTATGAAGTCTTGAGATAACTAAACGTTTAAGGTTATATGGTTTTAATATTGTACTGTACTTTACAGAGTGTGCAATAAATGTTTTATCTACAATGTCTTTAGTCAATAGTTCCCAAAATACTCTTGTAGAGTGGGAGGGCTTAGACCAAAATACTCTGAGGTTTGATTTCCATAGAGGCAAGTTAATGCATTGCGTAGTATTGCACAAACAATATACATTTTCCCAACACAGCTCAGGCCAATTTTTAAATTCTTTTTAAAATCCATGAATTTAAAATAGTTCACGATGTCTCCAAAAAGCCATTCAACTGCTATGCGAACTTTGCTCATAGATTTGTTGAATTCTTTCATCGGCTGAGTTAAAACAGCATTTCTGAATGGAGCCTGCAGGTGTACCCTTAATGGGTAAGCTGGGTCTCCATATAGACATAGAGGTTGGCCTTCTTCAGTAAAGCAAAATGTTTGAAGTTGGTTTAGTAGACCAGATTGTGCAAGCATAAAAGAGTCGTGCCTTCTTCCCTCTGAACAAATTAGAAATAATGCACCATCATGTATATACATAGTTAACCCAAGAATAAACCATGCTAAATTGATCTTTAAAAATAAACAAAAAAACTGCTCAAAACCTACTCACCCATAGGTCCATACAAATGACCAATCATTCCATTTGGCAGAGCAACAGATTGAAATTTAATAGCATGGACACGTTTGTGACCATTGTAGACAGCTCTTTGCAGTTTCCCTGGCCGACAAATTGCTCGGACAGTTCCATCAATAAACCCAACACAGTTATTGAGTGCAGCTCCTTTTAAAAAAATAGAACTAGCATAATCTTTTAGATTATCAGGGCTGAAAAGCATTTCATTCCAGTGAGAAACTCGGTGGCCGTGGTGATCATAAATGTAGTCTACAACTACATTTGTGATCATGCTCAGTTCAGGAACTGCCCTGCCAAACAGTGGTATCATGTCCGAGTATCTGCAAGGATAGGCAAAGCGTTTCAGAACAGCACATAATCCTTCAAGACCATCTGCCTTCGTTCCTTGAGGACATTTAAAATATTCAGGTATACCAAGAGCTTCAGCAAGCTCAGGTATATCATTTTTTCTGAATCGCAGCTCAGCTTCGCATTCAGTGTTTTCCAACTTTTCCAGACAAAATCTGCCGTATTCTTGGTAAGGAAACGCTGGATTTTTGGAAAAATTACTATCATACAACAACACAAACTCTTCGTCGTCGATAATGGTATCAAAATAGCTTTCAACTAAAAATTTTCTGGTCTTTTTGAAAGTTGTCATTTCGATTTTTGTGAATTCCCCGTCGTCTGTTTATTTTTTAATCTTAAATTTCCCGCCCTCAGACGACGACGGTAAGGCTAGATCCAGTCCGTAACAACCGTCGTCTATTATCCGTCGTCTAATCTTAAGGTCGCTAATAAACTATTAAGACGGTGTATCAAACACTGAGATGGTTCGGGTTCACTTTGATTTCGCATCTTTCAATTCTCATGGTACTCCGTAGTGACAACATGTCCTCCCTTAATTGTGGAGATTGTCCCTCCCGATACTTCCTCGTTCCGTGTGAGAATAAGCGAGTTGGCTGTCTTTATAATATGGCTAGGAAAGAGAGCGCGTGCTTCTCATGTTACTCCTTCGTTCCACACTGATGACGTTATATAATTCAAATCAAACTTACAGGTAAGTCTCGTTTAATTTTCAAATTAAAATTTCCAAACCTTGTAACAAACTCGAAAAGGCCACGTTATAGTTGATGTTTACAGGACTAGAATGGGGACGCAAAGGGGTTTTTAGACACACTCCAAGTGAGTACGACCAAAAAGCGTAGTAAGTCGTCGACTCTTCCAAGAAATGGATAAGGCAAGTAAATATGAATATTTTTTCAAGAGAAAAGAGTGAAGCAAATTCTCGACGAAATTAAAGATAGACCTTAAACAGTCAACCCCACCTTCCCCTACAACATTGGCAACATTGAAAGTAATCCTATCTTATCACAATTTTTGGCCTAATGAACCGATTGTGGCAGATCAAAGACAAGATTATAACACCGTTGACAGCTACATTACCTCAAAAATCTCAGCAGAAATTGTAGAAAGTATGCTGTTCTCAGTGGTGGCAGACGAGGCAGCTGATATCTCCAACAAAGAGCAGCTCTCTTTAGTCCTACGATTTGTCGACTCAACTCAACAGATTCGAGAGGAGTTTGTTGGTTTCTACCATTGTGAAGCTGGAACCAGTGGAGCGGCATTGAAGAATATGATACTGAAGGCTGTAGCTGACCTTGGTTTGTCAATGGCCAACTGCAGAGGGCAATCTTATGATGGTGTTGGCAATATGGCAGGAAAGTACAATATGGTGTTTCTACAATGGTGTTTCTACAGTTTAGGAAAGCTTTGTATATGTTCTTTGGATGAACCACCGCCTCAATCTCTTGCTGACACTTGCTCCGATTATTTAGTAAAAGACATAATGTCTGTTGTAAGGAGCCTTTCTTCTTTCTTCTCTGGTTCTTCTAATCAACTTGAAACTAGGTTCTCTGCTGAAGCTTATACATGTTATAGTGGGTTTTGTTCCTACTATTATGTCGGCAAACCATCTACCTGGAGAAATTCTGTTACAGAATTCTGTCATCATTATTCTACTGGTATTCCAAATATTATTGGCTTTCCTGCAGCATGAACTTTATGGCAAAGAAGGTGAAGATTGTAGAAGAAGAGAAGATTGTAGAAGTTAGTATCAACAATCTTCCTGACAGGGTATCTAAAACTCTAGCATCCGTAGACCATTAGCTTTTCAAACTTTTTTTACTGTTTTAAAATAATTGGCAACTATTCCTGTCACCTCTTGTGGCTACATATTTACGGAAATTTACGTCTTGAGCTAAAGCAGGGAAAAAAACTTGAAGAGGAGCTACGGAATCTTTCCTTAAAGGGCAAGTCTTCTAAAAGTAAGAGAAGGAGAAAATCCTCCGAAAAAAACAAGCAGAACATTAGAAATTTTACCCAACATTAAAGAAGAAGACGGCGGTGAGGAGACAGAAGTTTGTGCCAACAAGAACTGTCCAGTCACTGACACTAATGAAGTTCCCCGTCTAAAACGGGAAAACTATATAGATGGTGTTTTGCCCAAGGATTTTTGGTATTAAAATAGATATGTGAAACTAAATTAAGAAAAATTGTTACCTAATTTATGAACCTTTGTTCTTGAGCCCAGGGGATTTGTTACTTATAAATAGTAAAAAAATGCTCAACTTCGCTTCTAAGGATTCTTGGGTTGCTCAGCTTTACGCAAATTTCGTAACGAAAGAAGAATGAAAGACAACCCAGAAATGCAAGTACAGAAATTAAAAATAATTGCAGCAACCACGGGTGCTACATCGCCAGGAAGTTTATTGAAGAAAATCAAAAGAGGTGATTTGATCTGGGAACCGGCCTTTCCTTAAGGTGAAGATGAATCTTCATGAATCTCCACAAGCAATTTTTTGAAGAGCGAATTTCTTAAACGGACACCAGATAAGGCGAAAATTGCCAGACGAATGCTGTTGACATTCCCCGATCGACGAAAGTTGGTGACGAAAAGAAACCAATTAAAGAAATCAAGGAAGAATATCCTGCGCTATTTTGCTCTTGGAAGGGAAGAACGTCTGAAGTTCACTCATATATTTTTTGTGTGTATTTTATATAGAAGAACTTGGTGAAGTCGCACTCGTCTTGTTATCGTTTCTACTACCCCAAAAGAGGAATTAGGCAAACCAAGAATACCAGATCCTAGAAAACTTGAGTAACATTTTACTCCGTTGCCCCGCGTGAAACGTTTGTTTTACACAATTTTACTCAAATATATTGCATAGAGCTTATGTTTTACTCAAGTTGAGTAAATTACACATTTTAAGGACGTTTTAGGTGTCACCGTGAACGCAGTTCATTTTACTTAAATTTTGAGTAAATTTTACTCAAGAAATTGCGGTAATGTTACTCAAATATTGTGCGTCACTGTGAACACATTTACTACGTACTCAAATTTTGAGTAATTTTTACGCGAGGATTTTTTGCAGTGTATCGTGGAATCAAGAGGCGTGCATTTCTCCGCGGTCACGATGTAGATTTCGCCACGTATTCAACGTCCCTGGTAGCGGCCAGTTCCATCGCCGTATCGACCACGACCCGCCTGCACCTCGTGATGGACGCCGGCCCTATCCCGACCACGCTCACCACTGCTTCAGATGTAAACGTTTACACTAGTCACCATAGCACTTTGTCTAGTACGTTATGAAAGATTTTGTATAAGGTCTCAGCAGCATGCGTTGTAAGATCTTTCGCAGTCGACCCTGCACCGTACTCGTTTACCTCACTCGTTTACCTCGTTCACCAGCATCTCTACTCGTTTACCAATTGCTTGGTCATTCAGATTGAGTTAAGGTTAACTATGTGATTTCTGGTCTGCGCGAGGGGTTTTGCGTAGGTTTTCATTCTCATTTAGTAAAACTAAAATCAGCTATACTAGCAATTGTCCGTCTGAACTCCAACATTGCGAATTGATCAATTTTTTAACACCGAAATCCCATGAGTTCTTCGCCCGTTGGAAAACCTACCGTTTTCGAATTTACAAGCAAGCCGTTTTGGCGTGATCCCAAAGAAAACAGAGCAAACTCGTGGCTTTTATTTTAGATTTATCCCACCCTCTTGGGCACAGTGTCAACGACGGTATGGATAAACACGAGTTCCCGATTTGTTACAGCTAGCAAGGTTGACGACGCAATACGTTTAATCGTCAAAGGCGGAAAAGGCGCGTTAATAGGCAAAGTTGACATTCAAAGCGCTTATCGTATTGTTTCGAACCATCCTGACGATTACTACTTGTCCGGAATGAAATGGCGCGATCAATACTTCATTGATCTCGCTTTGCCGTTCGGGCTTCGCTTTGCCCCTTACATTTCTAAAGCTTGGCGGACTTGTTTCAGTGGAATAATTCCGGTTACTAATTATCTAGTTCGTGATCTACTGCATTACTTGGACGATTATTTTACATTAGGCCCTTCGGTTTTACTCATCTGTGCTAACTCGTTTCAAGCTATTCAACAGCGAATGATACGGGCGTTTAAAGAGGCTAGCATTAATCAGGCAGGTAAATGTGGAATTTCCCTCGATGGGACTTGGCAAACGCGAGGCCATGTTTCACATAACGGTGTTGTAACCGCAATCTTGATGGACACAAAAAAATGTTGCATGTGGAAATTTTATTTGATAAATGTCAAGGGTGTCAAAAGAAAACAAATGACCCCAAGTATCAAGAGTGGATAACCAATTATGTTTGCAAGATAAATCATGCTTGCAGTGCAAACAGTATGGAAGCTGCTGGCACTCAGCGGATCTCTGAGAGGTCTTCAACAAGGGGTGTACGTTACAAAGACACGCTTGGTGATGGTGACTCATCCACATATAATACCATAAAAGAGAGAAAACCATATGGGGAAGGAGTGCATTCCAGATAAACTGGAATGTATTGGCCATGTGCAGAAGAGAGTTGGGAGTCGGCTGCGAAGATTGAAGAACACGAGCAAAGGTGTGAATTTGAGTGATGGCGAAGGATGTGATGGTAAAGGAAGACTTACTGAAGGCAAAATTGACATTTTGCAGAACTATTATGGTCTTGCAGTGAGAAGCAACTTGGATGATGTTGAAAAAATGGCTACTGCTATTAAAGCAACATTATTTCATGTAGCTTAAACCGAGTCCAATCCGCAGCATGATCTATGCCCAGATGGTGATGACAGTTGGTGCAACAACAAGCGGGAGAAAGAGTCCTACCAACACAAGAATAGAATACCACAGTCCATTGTTGATGAAATTGTATTCGTACCAGTGTTTGAAGATTTAAGGAACTCTGATCAGCTTCAAAAATGTTTGTATGGCCTTACCCAAAATCTTAATGAATGTCTAAACGGGCTGATTTGGGATCGGTGTCCAAAACCTATGTTGAAAGGTCCACTGTTGCCCTTGCCACCTACTTGGCAGTGCTAACGTTTAATAATGGGGACATTTCTTTCTTGAAGATCCTTGAGGACCTGGATATAAAACCAGGAGTATTTACTTTCGAAGGTGCCCAAAACTGTGATCGCCGAAGAATACGACTTTCTGCGTGGCCAAATGAGAATGACTCAGATCTTTCCACTCTACAATATGTGGCTGATATATTTTGTATGCATGTTAATTACCTGATTGATTTATATGGTTTGATTTAGTTTCACGAGGACGACTTTGTGTTTCGCACAAAAGATGCCTATGATAAACAATGCAAGAGGCTTGACCAAGGAGACCATTATAAGAAAACCTATGGACTGAACCAGTTTTCTTTGCTAAATACTTCAAGATATTATCATGTAATTGGTGGACTCCCACCTGATGCCATGCATGATATTTTGGAAGATGTCCTCCAGTATCCTGTTGAAAAATTGCTAAAGGTCTTTATCTTCCAAAAGAAGTATCTTAGTTTGGATAACTTGAATAGAAGAATGGCAGCATTTGATTTTGGCTATCATAACGATACAAGTAAACCTGCACCAATTCAAGCTCAAAAGTTGGCATCACAAAATAACAGTTTGAAACAGCATGGTATATGATAATTTCTTTGTGTTACTGTTTTAATATCATATTATACTGGCAACTCTTATTTTCTTAACTAGTTAACCAGCAATGTTCCCTATCCCTAATGTGGCTGAGACTTGTAGGTGAATGAGTTCACAATTTAACCCATCCACTTTTTCTCTATTGGCCATGACCAACACTGCATGCCTCTGTCTTAATTTTTTACATTGTGAAGTACTGGATAATTTTACTTGTCACTAAAACCATGTGTCTTTTTTTAAGCTAACCAGATATGGTGTCTTGGACTACATTTGCCCTTTCTCATCGGCGATTTAGTACCAGAAGATGATGAAAACTAGGAATTACTTTGCACTTTACTTCAAGCAGTGCGAATTATTTTTAGCCCAGTTGTAAGCAAGGACCAAGTAGCCTATCTGCAAGTGCTGGTACAGAAGTTCCTTACCACCTTTAAAGAGCTGTTTCCTCAGTGAAGCATTATCCCAAAAATGCATTATATGGTTCACATGCCAAAAGCAATGCTTCAGTAAGTCAAGTTAAAGATACAAGATTAAATATTTTTATAGTTATAATTTATAAATAATAATGCAAACGTTTCAGAGCATGTATATGGAGCATGTATATGTTATAACAATTGCGTGTGCATTAAGTTTTGTTTAAGCCTGTTCAGTTTAAATTTACAATGGCTTAAAGTGCCTATATCACTTGTAGGATCTTTACGGAATTGAATAGAGCTTGAAAAATTAGTTTATAAGTTCTACAACCCTTTTTGATATAATTAAATAGTTTCGAAAATACGTGGGTTGGGGGGTTTGGGACTCAGGAATGATTTGCAAACACGCCGTCTTTTATAATGTAAACATGAAGAGTTTCACTGGCGATATAGTTTGCGCTTTTCAAGGAAAAAATGCGGGAACGGTGCGTTGTGTATGGCTGTAGCAACTGGGCGAGTTTCGGAAGATCGAAGTAAAATTACAATTGATTATATTATGTTTGACAAGAACTCGGTTCCTGAGTCCCAGGACCCCGAGCACGACGGAAATTTAGGCAAATCGTCATGTTTAGATGTAAATATTTCCGAAACTACTTAATTACATCAAAAAGGGTTGTAGAACTTATAAACTAATTTTTCAAGCTCTATTCAAATCCGTAAAGATCCCACAAGTGATATAGGCACTTTAAGACTTTTGCTTTTAGCTGTTAATTAGTACTTGCCCAATCTTAAATGTAGTCTAATTGCTGACACTGGCTAGTTAATATTTAGCTACCAGATTTATAATTTATACTGTCCAGAATTTTGCTAGCGAGAAGAAATATGTCCATATATGTCCTTTGAAACAAAAGTGAGTGGAGGTGACCTTGTTCAGAACTTGCTTACATATAATTAAATTCCCTATTTATGTAGGTAAAATATATTATGTTGGTGATTCTGATTTTGGTGATTTCATTGAAGCAGAAGTCAATGGCATAGAAAGACAAACACCATTGTATAAGTAAGTTTTCCTTCTCTGACCTATTCTGCCCATATGACTTTAAAGAAGTTTCAAGGGATATGATTTATCTGATTCTTAGAGCCAAATGGATATCAATTCATAGTACAAAATATAAAGTTGGAACACGGTTACATGTTGGATTTGATACTGATGATTTTGAAATCGTTGAAATAAATGTTGTCAACAACAACCTGGAGGATCCGTTGTTTGTTGTGTTAGAGAAAGAAACAGTGAGGTTTTCAGATCATTATCAAGCGTATGAAATTGCCCCCTCAATGCAGAAAAGAAATAAAGTGCTTTACTCCAAGGACTTTACATCCCATTTACCATTAAGCTTAATTAAGCCATTTGGGTGCTGTGAAAAGTTTGTGTGTTTAAGATATGAAATAGTTAAAATGTTAATTCATGTATTCAGATTTGTGTATATGCACGATAACACAATATTAGAGTTCAGTAAGTTCTCAAATTTGTAAAAATATTCGTCATATTTATAAAACATGAAAAATAATAAAGTCATTTCTGCAAACACCTTTCCCTCATTTTGTCTTATTTCCCTTTTTTGGGTACAGATTTTTTAAATCTCAAACGGATTTAACATTGGAAAAGATATTAATAAAAGACGTTTTCTATTCACAGTTTAGCATGCAGCTACAGATCTTTGACCAGTGTTCTAACTACAGAACGATGCTGATTTAGCACTTGTAATTTTAACACTTTTTCTGGTGCTGTTTTAGCAACGATATTCCTCCTGTTCTAACTCCAGAATAGTGCTGATTAAGCACTTGTGATTTTAACACCTTTTCTGGTGCTGATTTAGCACCCGCACTCCTCATGTAGGTGCTATTTCAACTCTCCCAAAGTGGTGTTAAATTATTTGAGTGTTGAGACTTATAGGTAACAGGTAAGACTTATTTATACTATAATAAATAATTTATACTATAACTATTTTAAGCAAAGAAAGACCTGATTAAATTTTTTAGGAATTTTAATGCTGGGGTTGGTTGTATTGTACGTATTATTCTGGATAGCGTAAATCCACTGGATAGTGATTTTTACAACAGTTCTACATAAAGATATTTGAAAAGCAGTAAACCTATAGATATACTGATTTAGGTCTGTTAGTAAAGATGTTTGAAATGGTGCGGATATAGGTAATTATCATAATACATGCAAACATCATAGGAATAAATTAATAGTGCATGAGGATCAATAATGAGTAAGGAATTCAGATAATAAAGAGCTCAACTTGAGAATATCAATTAGGGATTGCGATAGTGAATGTGAATTAGCGTTTTTTACTTTACTTTACTTAATTTACTTTAGAAAGAAGGTTTAATCCGGGTATAGCTACCAAACAGTCATCACAGATACACACAACTAAGAACCACCGGAAGCTTTGTCGCGTGATTGGATTGAAAAGGATAGTTTTAAAATCATTTTAGGCAGCCGTCGAATTGACATGAAATTTGGACTGACATAAAATTAACCCTTTTCCACATATGTAGGATTCCTTCAAATTGTCAATTTGGTCGTTTCATGTTTTGAAATTAATAAATTGACTGTAAAACCCTTCATATTAATAGGAGTGCTATACTGTTTGAAATTCGAAAAGGATCTAGTATTGTCTTGTTTTTGTAGCAAAGCATTTAACATCACAGTCCATTATAACTAATTTTCATTTAAAAGATTAGGTGTTTTTTGTACCCTGTACTTAAAGATGAAATGTCATCCGGTTAAAAAAAGCATTGTTATAGCGACAATAAGTTCACTTTGACATGGTGTTTAATGTCAGACAAGTACTGGACAAAACAAGACAAAACAAAACACTGTACAACCTAATACCATATATGCATTAACAGACAACATGACAACACATCACAATTATAGAAAGAAGAATGTAGAGTTGATGGATGATCAAAGCTAACAATTTGCCAAATGAACTAATCAGAAGAGAATAACAAATCTGTTACAAACTTATGTTCAAACCTTTCTTTGTGTTGGATCCTTCACTTTTTTCACTTTTAGTTTCAATTCCAAGATAACCAAGGAGATCAAGATCTTGTTTACTCTAATATCAGAATGTACAAGAATGGTGTTAGAAACATTACCGGTACCATACAATGTCATGCACCTATGAGTTCAAGGTGTGGTCATATTGAAAAAAGTAAATTTCACACAAAAACACTGCTACTGCATTGGATTTGGATTCTAAAAAATAACTAACCAACAGACTCCATAATATAAACTAAATGTTCTGAATGAAAATACTGAGGTGAATTACATTTAAAGCCATATACAATAGAAGGTCTTAAATTTAATTTTCATTATACAGTAGATAGAAGAAAATGAAAAAGTGTTGCCACCTAGATGAATAAAATAGTTGTCTCTAAGGTGCATAGAAATGGTGAACAAACACTACAATATCAAAGTTTGTAAATTTTGTTTTTAGCCAGTTTTCTAACAAAAGTTTTTGTTGCACAAGTACAAAATAAATAAATAAACATGGTAATTAGTCACTTTATCATAAGCTAGGATGAATATTTTTATTTAACTGAAAATTCTAGCAGTGAAACACAGTATCATTGAAAGGTTCTTCCAAAGATGGTTAGCTTAACCTTGCATTAATGCAAATTTACAAATCAAACTTGCCAACAGTTTCCAGACAGAAGAGGTTTTACTTTAAATCTTTCAACAGAAGCCATTCAGCCACAAAATGATGTCTCACATTTTTTGAGAAGAGTGTATATATAAAATTTGCAATGAGGTAAATTTTAACCTGATATGTTATGGAGACATGCTGCTATCATTTAAGTAACCCTTTTTGTCTGCAGCTAAACCACTGGCTATGCTAGCCACATTGATCAGGACAGGTATTCATCACATTTTGATTAAAATTCATTTTCCTTGACTTTATCAATAAAGGCTTTTCCCAGATTTCAGAAATTGTTACCCGGTTGAACAAGCCTGCAAGGAAAATATATAATTCATATACTAATATAGTTAATATAACCATTTTAATGTATGATGGTTAGGACTGGTCTAATTACATACACAACTTACCATGACCCTACCATGCATAAATCATACATTTCAATTTTTTCTTTAGTACTGGCAGTGAGTAATCCTACTATCAAAATATTTTAATTCAAGTAGGTTTTTCACCCTCTAGAATAATGTGCTGCTTTAATTAATACATTACGGGGTATTCTATAGTATGTACGTTAGGTTACCTATCACCTAAGACTACAGTATGAAGCTTCATATCTCCCTGACCACTGCTATACATTTGGAAATTCATCGATGAACAGCCTGAATCACTCTGATTTGAAAGTTGTTCCAAACATTAAAGCAAAGAACACACTATTTGTTAACGTATGTGTTGTGTGCAAGATTGTATACAAGAAACTGCGGTTACAACTTCTTAACGCCATTTTAATCATTTTATAAGCAGCTAGATATAAAAATAGAAAAAACTAACACAGGTAATCGCTAAGAGTATAAACATCTATTTACCGTATAAAGATTGGCCATAAATTGTATGGTTTAAATTGCCATGTTTTCCAACGTTGTTTAGCGTTCTCTGTCGCCTGTTGATTACAAACTTTCTGATAATGCACCATTTTTCTCGCTTTTTGAAGCAATATCCTTATTTATAAACGCGGCAATGTCCCTTCTTAATATTTATCCAAAAATTTAGGTTCAGAACCTTTCTAAAATGTAGGATTGAAGGGATATTTTTCACACCAAGAAAGCATCTCACGCAGTTTATGTAATGATCAAAATTCAAAAGTAAACTGTAAATTGACTAAATCCCAGTGCTTCCGTTTCTAATATCAAAATTTCCTTCTTTTACCATCAAAATTTATTGCATATTATATAATAACGTAAAGAATTCAAGCAATTTCATTGGTCGAGAGCCATGATCTATAAGAGGACAGACGCACGGAATGACGTCACAGCAATTTTCTTTTTACCGGTTTAATTTTGGATTTTTTTCAGTTTTATTATATAAAACAAATAGATTACAATGAACCGTTGTCTCGCCCCGGCGGCTCGTGGCCACTTTTTTGTTCTTATCACATATGACGTCATACCGTGTATCTATAACTGAACAGACAACGGTTCATTGTAATCCATTTGTTAAATGGCCCACTGAGCTCACCGTGAGCGACTGACTGCCTTTAATTTTAGGCTGAATTTATTCCTGGAAGGTCTGTTCATTCTAAAATAGTTACTTTTCCTGATGTTATATTTTAAATCCATATGAGAAAATTGAAAGTAACCAAAAACGTCTTTATTAGCTAATTTCCTGGCCATCACATGACAAATGCTCGTCGTTTAAAAAGCGTTCAGGTCAACAATTTGAAAAACGCAAAAAAAGCCGCAAGAATTAAAAACACATTTTGAAATAAAGAAATATTAATTTATACAAATGCTCAAAAAATTGTGACATTTTCCTCGGCACTTATGGACAAATATCTCGATTCTTCCGAACTGAAGTCTTTAATTTTAAGAACTTGCGTGTCATTCTATTTATAATTATGCAAAGGTGATTCTTAGAAAAAACGTGCCTTGTCACTTGAGTTTTCAAATTAAACGGGAACAATTATGTCCATAATTTTTAACTGCGGTGTAGAATAAAACAGGTTTTTATGATTCCCAAGCTCATTAGATTTTGATCAGATTTTGATTCCCAAGCTTTCAATCGCATTCTCACTTGATCGGATTTATAGGTCAAGAAGTATAACACAACTTAAAAGTATATGAATTATAAAGTAATTACAAAATGTTACAAAAAACGTGATTTATATAACCATAGCTATTATAAGGTTCTTTTGAACGTTTGGATAATCTAGTGTGTCGATAGCCTGTGGTTCTATTTATTTAAATCATCTTGGCATCATTTGTTTCGTCCCTCACATGTTTCAGAAAAGACATATATTCTTAAGAAAATGTGAATTGACAATTAATAACATACCTCAAAAAGTCAGATGATAGTAGTTAATAAATATTCTCAGCTTGTACGCAAATTAACCCATTTCATATCTCATGGTCTGAAATGGTTAAGTTTTATTGGCTATTCCATGGAGACCCTGGGTTGAGTTGGGTCAGACAAGGTTGGGTCACAACATCTGAAATGGGTTAATTTTCATGCAAGCTGAGATGGTCTATTGAACTGGTCTATTGTATGAGTCTCACTTTCCGTTTGAAGGCCTCAAACAATAAAAAGATCAGCAGACAGCAGAAAGCTGGACCAAATTAGAATCAGTAACAGTGCAATTTTCTTCCATACCTGTTCCTCCTGTGCCGTGATGTACCAGTGCTCTATCAAGTTTATTTTTCGCATTTGCTGCTTGAATTGTCACATAGCTGAAATATTGAGATAAATTTGACGATTATTGTCACAACTGCCAGTGGTTAGCTGAAAAAGAGGTTTGGGTGGGACAACTGTGGGGCACTACGAGAAATACATCTTAATCTATACGTCGTACATCAGTGAACAGCTGTTTTTAGTCAAGGGTACTTATTACAAGACTTATATCCTTGTCATGTTTGTAATTATTTATTCCGAAAATAATGTATTATTTCATGGAGATCCGCCGACACACTTTCATTCCTGTAAGAACAGGAACGCGCTTGGCAGCGCGCAGTAACGTATAGCCAAGCTGACGTTATGTTCCACTATGCTAGTACTATTAAATATGGCGTTCATTGACTATAAAAACAATAAATTTTTAAAAGCTTAAATAATTATAATAACTCGAAATTTACACAGCGGGATAAAATCATCGAACTCCTGATAGGGGGGGGGGGGCGCCAACGACAAACGAGAGAAACTTTTGAAACGAAGGCATAAAATATTCTATTAAAACAGATCCCTCCATCACTCCCTTGTGGTTGCCAATTGTAAGGAAATTTCCTTGCATTTTGGAAACCCTGGCCATAGGCTGCTGTTTCGCAGGTTTTTCTCCCTCGGCGGTAAATGTGGTTATCAAATAAATAACATTTTAATAGTTTAAGTAAAATTAAATATTGAACTCACCTAGTTACAACTTGAATATGTAGACTTCGAAACTGCACGAGACTTTCCACACAGTCGTCGTATAGTCTCAACAATTCACCATCTTCACTTTTTAGAACTATTAAAGTAAGAACATCATAATTATATCACCAGGTAGAAGTGTAACTGGAAGAGTATCTTTATATATAATTATTTATGTTTTAAACAATCAGTTTAAAAAAAATCAGACCTAAATATTTGCCGGCAAATTAATTGATCTTTTTCATACTTACGTCAAACGTGGAAAGTCTGATGTTACACGAAGTTTGATTGGCTCGATAGTTTTGTGGAGCCAATCAAATTTCGTGAAACATTAGACTTTCCGCGTTTGACGTGATAATAAGAAAGGTCTATTGTGTAGCTTCATCCTGCCACTGTATAATAAATATATACATGTTTTAGCCGTTGGAGTCTGAACATTGCTAATTAGTCTCACAGTTTCAATACGTATTCAGGAAAATTATAGAAGAAATCTTTGGACAGAAATAAAGGTGCACGAGGAGAGGTATTACTATTATCATTTAATAGTCATAAATTCACAATTTGATCTCAACTTTGATGTTGCTAAAATCACGATGTGTGTCCTTTTTTCTAAAACTCTGTTCCATGCAGCTGCGCTAAACTGAGTCTGTTTCCAGCGCCTCAGTTGTACTATTGTTACCTATATAAACAAATCTTAAGCCCGCCGCACACGTGATGTATTAGCTGAAGAAAATGCCAACGCGTGGCTGTTAGCTCAGCAAGTTACCCTCGTGTGCTGGTGTGCGGGAAGTTTTTCGTGAGGAATTCGCCTCGAAAAGCAGGTTTCTCATGTCTGCAGATGGTTTTCGGGCAGAGCTAACAACCATCCGTTGTCTTTAGCTCAGCTAATAGCTCACGTGTGCGGCGGGCCTTAGAACAAGGACTAAATAGCCCATCTGCTCACGTGAATCTATATTTAAAATTTGATCTACTAACCATAGTCACGAATAGATGGTCCTTTACGAATCTCTTGAACAAATTGCCGATGACCACGAGGCATATAATCCAACATTGATTCCAGATATGTCTTTTCACCATCTAATAGATAGAAGAAAAAACGATATAGATATCAGTACAGTATTACACCCAGAAGAGGGGTTTAGGGCCAGATCAAGTTAAACTCAATTATAGGGGAAAATGAATATGTAGTACCTGTAGGTAGTAATATATAATTGTATACAGAGATTTCTGCGTATAACAATTATCACGATGCAAAATTTCAAGAATAATAATATTATCTTGTTTAAATGGTTACTTTTCTTCAAATAACTAGTTATGCTTTATTCTCTTGTATGTACATTGCAGGTGAAAAATACCTTGGTGCGTAATGCCAAGAGCGGCATCAAACAAATGAAATGTAGTACTTTGCGATGCACTTGCTCCTGAAAACTGTAATAATAATGGTAAAATAATTACATTCCGTAGAAAAAATTAGTGTTCACCTAATCACAATGTCACATGGCCGGAAATGATTGGTTTATTATTTAAATTTAGTGCTAAAAAACGGTATCTTGTTTGACTCATTTTTAATTTTTTTTACGAATATACTAGTAACATAGCTTTTAAAGCTTTAATCGTGAACTATGTCAGGTTATAAAGCATACACTATTGACGTATTTAAGAGTATATTTCGAATTATTTATGACCATAATGATGTTTTATTCGTCGAAAATTTACGTGTGGCTAATATGCTTATAAAGACATGCACCCCTCCTCTCTGCCGGCGCAACTTCAGTAGGTCACTAAAAGTTAATTCAACCTTGAAAAATTATTACGAACCTTAAATGGTTTTGAGCTCACTCCTTCATAAATAATTCCATCTGGAAGCGATTTGTTGTTCTTCCAACTAATTGAAAACATTTATGTTGTATAGTATCTGCGAACGATTCCCAAGTTATTATAAATTAATCAAATCATTGCAACAATTACGTGGTCGGACGGAAGACGTTGCTGCACGATGCTGCACTACATGTTGCACATTTTGCATAATAAGGTTGCAAAATGCACGCACGCTTGTTACATAACGCACCCTGATGTCGCGTAATATGTTGCCATTAATGTTGTATTACTTTGACTAGTGGTGCATGCCACAGATCAAAGAAAAAAAACATTACACAAATGCGGTTTTTACTATCATAGAGCATTTTAATTTACATGTAAGTTGAAAGGAAACGGGTTTTGTGTCAGCGATCGTTATGATTACATAAATAGTGATGAGGGACTTTCTTTTTGGGCAGTATGGGGCGTTGTGTTTGTAGTGTACCGAACTTTATTAGTAACAGCTAATTTCAAAGAAAGTTAAACTGATTATCTGTTTTTCAATGCGTCCGCACATGAGAAGAACAAATTTTGAAGCAGGTTTAGATTATTTGAACATTACATAATTATTTGTATTATGCTCGAAATCTCGAATTTTTGTATGTGTATGATGCAAAAATATAGCATACTATACCCGGCTAGAAATATCCGTAATTTCGTATAAAAGAAAGTTGGACTACATTGTTCTAAAACATATTGTCAAAATGTTAGCTAAATAATTCACTCAAAGTCGTTTTGTGATTATTATAAGAGTAATACAAAACGACGATGATGATGATGATAATACCTGTGGTAATGGCAGTGATGATAGTGGGGATGAGGGTAATGATAATGATGGTGCTGATTATAACGGTAATGATGATAATGCTTAGGGTGATAGTGGTGATAAGGCCTAGGTAGGTGGTGATGACAGTGGTGATGAGGACTATGATTGTGGTGATAGTGGTGATGTTAGTGGTATATATACCCGTCCCAGGGTCTTTTGTGTTCATTTCCGCACAGTCTAGTCCCTAGGCCTCTCATACGTTCTTTAGTACAGCGATTTCACGCGATTTCATTACTATGCAGGCGAACTCCTGAGAGTCCTAGACCAAAATATTTTTTGGCTAAAATGGGGATTTTTTGTCCCTCTTTATATTGAGATAAGTGGTCCATTAGTAGCAACAGACGGAAATTCCACTGAGCGAATAATAGGGAGTTTAGTTTACGATCTACGACGCGGTTAGCTGACCTTGTTCGATATCACTATAGACAAATATTTTGCTTGAAAAAAGCTACGGGAAATAATGCTTCTGTTGATGGTGGTAATGAGGATGATGATGTTGGCATATACGATGATGATAGTCATGATGACGATGCTGGTGATGATGGTGGTGATGATGCATAGATTCACTGATTTTTCATACCATACATTCTTTTTAACGATTTTTTAATTTCTGAATAGTTGCTTGTAAAACGACCAAGCATGCGCAGAGTAGTTCTTGATTTTGTCACGCACAGCCTAAAGGTAACGATATTAAAAGAGCAAGAAATCAAGATAATGTATAAAAGCTTAATAGTATGGAAAAAACGCAGACCTTACTTGTTGATCAAATAACGTTTCTAATGATTGAAAGATCAGAAAGGATGCGACAAGTTGTAGCATGTTTATCGAATCGAATAGTGTCATTATTTACGATTCTCTTATGTTTGGTAAAGTTCTTCAAAACTTTGAAAAAGTTAATAGTTGACAACATACTTTTTGTGCAGCGACTACACTCTAGAGTTGTGAAAATAGACAATTTTAATTAGTCACAATTTGGCTGACTCATTAGGGACAATAACTAGTAGGTCCGTCACCAGAAGCTTAATTGGGAAGAGGGGATGCATATTCATATATTCGTCTTATGCCCGACTAATTTCTTTTATTAGCTATTGTTTTTACGGTTGTACGCACATGGATATATTAGTATGTAACCCCCTTCCCCAATCAGCTTCTAGCGACGGCCCTGATATAACCAGTTAATTTAGTAAACGATGTTGCAGACTCAGGGAAAGTCAGATTATCACAGCTCTGACTTGAATTGTAATCATATATTGGTAGATTTTTAAGTAGAAATATTCTTTTGAAAATGGATAAACAACAGGGTTGGTATTATAAAGTATTTTGAAATTCTGAAATTAGGCCGTATAATATATTCCGACGTACCCTGAACTGGCATAGACTACCGTTGTCTGGTGAAGGAATTGTTAGCGCTAACCATAGTGCGACTAAATCAAGCTTTGCTTACCCTCTCAATTGATGCTCAATATGGAAAATCAAGTCTTGGCCAGCAAGCAAAATCACAAAAAATTTCAGGACTTACCTTAATTCCTGGTACAGACTGGATTTCTATATCCCAGTGAATTAAAAAGAACCAAATCTCCTCATTTGATCCGGTATATAAAGATTGCATATCAATGTTGCTAGAGGAAGTAAATCGTTTGACAACATATATGAATTGACCCTTTTTTTATATCAGACCAGCATTTGATTTAGGCAACAAAATGGGAATTTCCGAAAAGTGAAAACCAAACTTAGTAAAATTGCCAAGTTTGGCAGCGAAATATGGTAAAGTACGGAAATTATGGCCATGCGATGTAGGCGATTTTACTACCGAAATATAGTTACACGCTTCCGGGCATAGTAAAAAGATTACAAAATTTGCCTACTTTGCATGGCTATATATATTTCAAAATACTCGACATTTTGCTGCCAAACCTGGCAATTACACTAATTTATGTATGCTCTTTTCTTTCTTCTTAGAAACTAGAACATAATTATTTTAATTATGCAAATAGGTCCATTGTTTTAACGGGGCTAGTTTTTAGGCTAATAATCTTAGGAAAGTCTCAAGACGGTCAATCTCAGGGAAAGAAATAGAACTTAGAGAAGAATACTTCAACTTCAGATGAAATTTTCTTGCTTTTACAATTTTGCCACTATGATATCTTCTTATAGTTTTTCACACTGTTTTTTCTATCACGAAGTCATGAATAAGATATTTAATACACCTATTTCCAGTCTCCTTCGGCCTCTGCCACGGCTAAAGTAATACGGCTATAATTATATGGCCCATCCCCAAAATAGGTCAGCCTGATTCGATAAAATATCTACCTTATATCCAAAGCGGGTCTTTAAAATATGAAAATTTAATGAAAAAAAAAACATTAGTAAAAAACATTACAAAGTCTCTTGAAAGTTTTTATAAAAGATCTGTTTGCTAACGCTAATCACTAACCTTGTTTCATCTTTAATTTTCCAGTTATTGATCAGAGATGACCAGACGCAAGCAACAGGATACACACCTACATTATATTATGAAAACTTCTTTGATTATACCAATTAATTATATAGCTCAGCTGTATATTTGCATAATTTGAGATATGTAGACCTTTGTCGAAAAACTCGAATTCTGAAGCTATATATAATCTACCAAAAACATTGAAAACATGCAGTACTATTATTCATTGCTTATCTATTATATATATATACGGAAAAAGCATCCAACATTATTAATTATACTCTTTCCTATATACCAATATGATTTGCAGCCGCCACCAATGGTATTGATAAACACTTTGGAATAATCTAAACGAAATCAATAAATATAATATTTGCCTGCGAATAGGAATTTTATGTCTGTCATCTTGTTTCATTATCATAATGGGCAACTCTGCCAAAGGGGTGGAGGAAATCTGCTCTGAAGAGATAAAACTTTAGCTGTAGGCAAATAATTTAACAGATGGAACAATTAGATTATTTTCAGGGTGCTATCATAAGACACACTCATAAACATTTCAAGTTAGTCGCTTAAAGTCAGCTGGCGAAGCAAGTCAAACTATTCTAAACAGTTTCATACATCCCACCTCCTCCCCATGCCTGCATCAACGAACCTGGTTGTGATGGTATTCGGGGCTAGGGGGGGCGTTATTGTAAATTTTACCCTCACCTTACTGGGCAAAACAATGTGATGAAAAATATGTAAAGTTATATAGTTAATCAGTTCTGTTAAAGTTAATAAATATTACGTCATTTTATTAATAAAATGGCTAGGGGTAATTGTAACCCCTAGCTCAAAATATCCCAAACTCGTGTTTGGCTCTTTCAATCGTAATTAAGACTGTGGGAAAATGCCCAGTAACGAGCTGCGGAAATGCAACATCCATGGAGCGACATGCGAGGAAATAATATACAAATATTACTCGCGCAAGATGACAGACATAAATGCTAGTAAAATAGAAGTGTAGGTAAGTGTAAGTAAGCAGATTATAGTTTAGCTATATAACTTGCGCATGCAAATTGTTATCAGTGTTAGACCTCTATACATCAAGGGATTTGTATCATATTATTTTATAAAAGAGTTCAAGCTGAATCCATGAACATATATAAATATCAGTTTACCTTTGGTGGATTGTTTTGCCCATTTTGCCAGACATAACCATGAGTAATAGCGGTAAGAACAGTCAACGCTCTTCCCCACTCCCGTTCACTTGCCAAGTGATTATGATCGAGTATTGGCATCTAGATTTGAAAGAAAATTTAGCAGCTTTTCTGTTATTTTCTGTATTTTCAGATAATATGTATCTATATGTCGAATGGCCTGTAACGGTAAAGGGTAAACTAAAGGCCGTTTTCCACTTCAACCGTATCGTAGCGAAACGTAGCGAATCTGATTGTTTTAAAGTCGAATACAAAGAAATACGCTACGCTACGTTACGCTACGATACGATTGAAGTGGAAAACAGGCCTAAGGCTAAGACCCCGTTTACACTACACTCAATTTATTGGCACGGCGTCGGCAAGGCAAAAATGGGTACCAATTTTATTAGTGTTGAGGCTACCAAAACTAAGACAGACACAAGATGAAATGGGCCCGCACTGTAAAAAATGAATGGTTGAAACAACCAAAAAAAAAAGGTTCTCCTGGATGCAACCAGGACAACCAATTAAAATTTGGTTATTTTTTTACCAAATTCATTTTGGTTAAAATTACCAATATTAATATTGGTTGAATCTACCAATATTTAATAGGTTGATGTAACCTGTATTGAATTTGGTTAATGTAACCAATGTGCAATGGTTTTTTTGACCAATTATTTTAACCAATTAAAGATTGGTTAAATTATCCTGAAATTCAAAGCACTTCAAATCAAATTTTGTCAATACACACATATATATTATAAAAGATCTAATATAATAAATAATTTATCCTAATGGTTATTTGCACACATATATACAAGTTACTACATGCAAACACTTATCTTACTAGGATTCATCTATACTTAGGTCATTTCCAGGTTCTCAAAGCTGGGGTAAAAAGTTTTCAATTCAATTGGAATGTTCCGTTTTCCGTCTGTTTGTAGTAATATCTGGTCCAGAAGAAGGAAACACATTCTTTGTCTACCCACCTCCAGCTTTAGGGTTCTCTGCGTTGGATACATACAATGCAGTCAGCAAACACATAACTTCATTTAAGATGGAAAACTGCTTAAACTTTATTGCTACCATGCCTTCAGCCACAAGGTCTAGTGAATGTCACCAAGAGATCCAGTTAATAGCACCTTCGGGGATGTGCTTTTTTTGACAATAGTCAAAATTTCAACACCACTGTCATCCTAAAATAAAATTTAAAAATTATAAAACTTAATATTCCTAAGCTTGGAAATAAAACATTTACATATGGGAAAAATCCTGGGACACAAAAGAACAAGACCCTACACTAGACAAGAAGCCACTTGAGCATATTTTAAGTTTTTATGGCCTATAGTTTAATATTTACAGGGCCAATTTCCCAAAAAAATTGGCCAGGTCTTTTTCTGTCCCAACTGAAGCAGTGGGGCAGTGAAAATGCAATGGTTTTCCATTTCTTTTAAATAAGTTTGATTACAAGATTCAGCAGGCAACATAATAAATGTGATTTGCATACTGTATTTCAACGTTGTATATTATATACATATATATCTGTAGATACCTTTTTCTTGTTCGGGTGACAATCCTCTAACAGACCAATAATGTGTTGGACATCTTTGTTCTTGTTCTTTTCCAGAGCAGCCAGCATTGACGGCTTCTTTGAATCAATGTTTCGGCATCTCAACCATGTGCATTGAAATGATGCTCTACACACAGAAAAAGTAAAAGTCAACAATAGCTAAACCAAGATATGTATATAAGATATATTAACTTCCACACATAGTTACTAACAATACTACTTACCACATATACTCTTAATTTTCTCTGGGTTGAGTTGGGGTTTTGCATCCTTTTCTTTAAAGGCATTTGAAGCTTTTCCAGGGATGGAATGACAGCAAAGTTGTTCTTGCATCCTTGACATGCCCATAATTGCCTAAACCAAATCTTTTACATTTAATTTTGCTTTTATAACTCTATTTTGACCTTTGGTTAATATGATGTTTGGATATAAGAAAATCTGTAAATTTTAACGGTTAATATGAAAATTAAACATTTAGCACCTTATTCACTCCTAGCATTATGCATGATATAATAGCTATAGAATTTATAAATGTACTGCAAAAGCATTGACAGAAATAAATTTTAGTTGTAATTGTCCTATTTATAATGATATAAATAAAAGGTATATTATATTATCTATATGATTCACCAGAAGTAGGATTTGCAGTTGTTGAGTTTTGACAGCATATAAATACAATAATACTTGCCATTTCTGATTCAGCATCAGTCATAAGTATCTTGCACTTAAAGGTGATCTTGAAGCCTTGATGGAGTGAATAAAGTAATCTTTTAAATGACTCAGTGCATGGTTATACATAGAGGGCATTTTATATTAATTAATACTAATAGGCAAGTGAGTGAAGTGACAGCTGGACAAAGTTTTGAAAAAGGGTCCAGCAGCCATACAAAGTCTGATCTGAAAAAATAGTCAATATTTTAAATATAAACATTATTATATACAAACACACTCACCACTGAATTATAATACTTTAGCTGTACACATGTTGTTGTTGAAATTGTAGATGGTCGAATGGAACCTTTGATTATTTTCTTATTAACTTTAGAAATTCCACATGGCCATGACAACATTACAAATCCTCGCGATCACAGTCACTATTCACAAATAATCCGGATCTCCTCGCGTATTAATCCAGCCTGTTTCACCAATTTCGCATGACTACTTATTGACAAATTCAAATAACGCGTATTTTATGTTAAAATACGAAAGAAAAACTCACTAAATTCTACTATAAAACCTTGAACGGATGACAAAGAGTCAAAGACGCGCTCAAAATTTGAAAATAACGCGTGTCGGTTGGACAAGTCCCACATGACCTTGCGGTCTTGTTTGGGCAAAACACCCGCCACCTTACCCGCGAACAGGTATATTATGAAAACAGTTAACAGTGAAATATGTGTGATTTGTCCTTCCAAAACCGGAGCGATTTTTGCTGAGAATTTTAACTTTAAAACTTAATATTCTATAGGATTTGTAAATTCTATAGAATATAGCAATAGAATTCTCTATAGCATAAAATCATAAAAAGTCCTATAGAATATTCTATAGGATTTAGAATGTGCTATATCATATTCTATTGGATTCAATAAAAAAAAAGAACCAGAGGTGTACAAATATACTTCATCGACCGCAAAGAGTAATTGGTCAATTTAACCAAATTTTATTTGTTGCTACTAAATATATTTGGTTGTTTTTACCAATATGAGCTTTCATATCCATTTTACCAATTTTTTATTGGTTATTTCTACCATTTTAATTTGGTTTTAACCAATTTAATTGGTTGAAACAACCATTTTAAATGGTTGCAACCTTTTTTTTGGTCATTTCAACCATTCAGTTTTACAGTGCGGGTACCGATTTTAACAGTGCCGTACTAATAAATAAATCGAGTGGAGTGTATAAACGCGGCTTAAGACCCTGTTTACATGCACTATACTGGATTGTTTCCGGGGTGGATCAAATTTTGTAGGGCTGTAAAAGGCAGTAAGAAATTTTACTGGTAGTGATAAAAATATACCAAATCTATACACCAATTAAACTAATCAGCATAATCAACCAATCACAAGTTTTACTTACATACAAGTTTTACATATCGTCACAAGCGAGTCTGTTACAGTGTAAACGAGGCATAACCGGCTTCAATGCCAATATGGTTTGTCATTATGTGAAATTAAATTGAATATATATATATTAAACTACGGGGAATTGCGTTTTTATAATGCTGACCGTTTCATCTATATTACGCAGTAGACAAAATATAACACATGAATACAGGCCCGTTGGAGAGACGTTGTTGAAGGCGGGCTAATTCATACAAAGATTTCCCCAGCTTGCGAAATATTTCTTATAGGTGCATCTCTGCTTTCTTGACAAATAAAGTCTTGGTTACTTCTTGGTTTCCGTGTTTGGATGGCCTCATCCAAACATGCTGGAATGTTGCGAGAGTTAAGAAAATCGCGCGCGTGAAACACAAGCCGAAGGCTAGTGATTTTGCGAGCTTTTCTTAATCAAAGCAACATTCATGCACAATTGTTTGGATCAGGCCGGCCATCGAAACACAGGAAACCATTAAGTCATTGTTTTATAAAATAACAACAACAAGGTAGTACGTGTTCCAAGTTTGAATTCCATACGCGAATTAAATTTCGAAACACGTTATAATTTATTTTATAATAGGTGTTCGTGAGCTTATGACGAAGAAATTTGATTTTATACTAATTATGTTTTATAGTTTTAAACACTTTCGTAAATATCGGTCGTTCCTTACTTGTTCTACAGCTTGTTGTAGTTTCTTGAACTGAATGAGCGAGGTTAATTCATTGAAGATATCATCCCAGATTGAGAAGTATGGATTGCTAAATTTGAGCTGAAATATATAACTAGACAGTATTAGCTATATAACTACACAGTGTATTATTATTTGCGTTCTAATGCAGTATAATGATGAAAAATGTATATACATACAGTACTGTTTACATAAGTTCGCAGGAAGAAAGGAACAATTAATCTCGTTTCGGCGTTTAAAGGCAATTAATTGGCCAAAAGACGAAGATACGATTATGCAACCCTCCCAATTAAACTTCTAGGTATGACTCTGTGTTTTAATTCTCTTTCAAAAAGTGCTTGCCGTTCTTCAGTTGCCGCTTAATAATGGTTATTCAATTTCGTGGAGCGCGATATTTAAACGTCTGATTACCAACGAAAATAAAGTCTGCAAGTTATTGTGTAAGAAATCGAGTCATTAAAATGCTGATTGGCTGAGGATTATAAATATACTTACCAGAGGGTTTTGATGAGGAAGGAAACCACGAGTGTACGATACGTCGTATTTTTTAGTGAAGACATTATCCATTCCCTTTCTGATTCTATTATTTCAAACGCATTTAAGTGAAGGAATGTGTTGACGGTGTCGTTCATTTCAAAATTGGTGAAATAGAAATGTATCAAAATGAAACAACAAAGATGTTTTTCAGTGCCAAATGACAATGGCTGAGAAAAAGTCTTTGTTAAGATCTTTTAAATAGGGCGGAAGAATAAACTTCATAATGGAGAGTTGACGTTCAACCTGAATTACCATGCACATATTTGAATATTCAAACGTTTGGTGAATTGTTTATGGCAAAGGCAAGTTCGTGACGACGCCGGCATTGTCAAAAAGGTCACCGAGCTATTCTTCGAAGATAACGCAAAGGTCAAGCCACAAGTACCGGTTATTACGTTAGGAAAGGTTGGTTATTATACGTTGTGGCTACGTGAGAAATCAGGTTTTGTTATTGTCACTATAGTGAATAATTATGATCAGTGTTCATGACCATTCCCAAGTGCAGACGAATACTTTTCATGTTTTTGTGCATGCCTCGGAATATTATGATGCGACAAGCATTGCATCGTTTAGTGCGACCGCTACGTCTTTTCAAATAACCACAAAGAAAATGTCATGAATTTATTTGTGGTATAGAGATTAAAAAGTCCAGAAATAGTTGCTTTTAAGTCGCCCTTTCCACCCAATTCATAATTGATATCATTTTAAATACATGTGTCACAAATATATATTCATGAATTATATATCAGGTAAATTGGACAGTCCATATAGTCTGTAGGTGGTATTAAAGCCTATTAAAGATCCACTTGAATGTTTGGATAGTCTATGTAGCTAATCAGTAGGTGCTGTGTAGTTTGACTGTATATGTTCCATAATGGTTTATTTATTTGATCTTGGCATCATTTGTCTTGTTCCTTACTCGTTTCAGAAAAGACATATATTCTTAAAAAGAGAATGTGTAATAACATAAAATTAATAATGTACTCAAAAAACTGAAAAAATAATAAAAAATGATGAAATAAAATCAGAATTGTCTGCAAATGTTTCGTAGCCTGCATGCGTTAAGGAAAAATAAGAATTGCAAATTCTAAAGGCCATGCAGTCAAATTTCAGTTCAGCTGTTACAGTATTCCATCAAAGAAAACAATAATAGTTTCCGTGCGATTTCAACATGCAGCTCATGCATGAGTCAGAATATTATGCAATAAATTAAATAACAATGTAATTTCCCCCTTCATATACCTGTGCCTGCTGTGCCTGATGTGACGTAATATACTGGTGCTGTACATGTTTCATTTTTCTTGCTCGCCGCTTGAATTGTCACATATCTGAAGGTATTAAAACGCGTAGCTACACTGTAGGGGCGAGTCCCACGAGAAATACCCCTCACGTAATGTCATTATAGGGCCATTTAAACGAGGAAAAGGACGCAACCGGTTAAATAAGACCTCATCGTATAAACTATGCAAAATGCTTTTTCGCGTCTTAGATAAGACGCGTCTTGTGTAAGACGGGCCTGACAGCTCCCGTCTTACTCAAGTTGCGTCGTATATATAAGTTGCCATATATATATATATATAATATTATATATAATATTTTCCCTCATATATATAAATGGCCTTTTATCTCATTAAAACATCACTTTTATTTTTGCAGTAAAAGGGAAAACTTATTCCGCGGATTTTTTCCGTTAGTAAATATATGGAGTCAGACGGGGTTATATGAAATAAAATTAAATATTGAACTCGCCTCGTTACAACTTGAACATGCAGACTTCGAAACTGCACGAGACTTTCCACGCATTCGTTGTATAGCTTCAACAATTCACTATTTTCACTTCTTACGACTGTTACAGTAAGGATATCTTATGTTATTTGAAAGGAAACAAGGCAAGACATTTATGTACATGGGTAACCATGCAATATATATTGAAGTGACACAGTGAATTGAAATTTATATTTCAAATTTGATTTACAAACCATAGTCACGAATAGACGGTTCTCTACGAATTTCTTTCACAAATCTCCGATGACCACGAGGCATATAACCCAACATAGAGTCCAGAAATGCCTTTTCACCATCTAATAGATAGAAGACAATAGAAATAGCCATATAACTACGGTATCCAGTAGAAGAAGGTTAATTTTGTAGCCAGCTCGAGTTACTTTTGTATGTAATGCTTTGCATAATTATAATCATTATTAAATGATTCAGCCACAGTTAAGTATATATTTGCTGATACATTGCCATGCTTCACAAAAGTTACACCGAGAATTTTCCAAACAATATGGTCGTCTTTGTGAATTGAAATATCACTTCACTATAGGCTGAGGAAAAAGCACGAACAAAGCAAGTCATTCGAAATATGCATGCATGCATGCATGCATGTATCTACCTGACTTCAATGCATAATTTTTGCCAATGTTTAGGGGCAATTTTTTCCGGCAGTCTTAGAAAATATTTGAATACTTCTTGTCTCCAAAACTCTTTGTCGATAGTCTAGCACCCCGGGGAAAACTGTATAATATTATAAAATATTATAATATTATAAAATATCTACCTTCGTGCGTAATACTAAGAGCGGCATCAAACAGATGGAATCCAGTACTTTGTGCTCCACTTGCCCCTGAAAACTAATGATTTAACCATATAAAAATTATGATGTTCTGCTAAAGTGGGATCTTCCGTGCATGCGTATGGCACTGATCGGTTCATTTTCGGACTCAGTCGGATCTCATGTAGCATATATCGCCTAATCAAGGTAATCAGGCACGCTCATTGACCATTGTAGCGAAAGAAGTTTTGGCATATATTTTCATAAAAAAATTACAAAAATTCTCCGGGAGAGCATAATTTGATTTCCATGTGCCAAAAAATGCACCAATGGCACGATTCCGCGGCATGTTCGGACTGGGTCATGCATAGGACTGGAGTTGTAAACTATGGAGTGGATTGGACTTGTAAAACATGGACTTGTAAAACATGGATTTGTAAAACATGCAATTGTAAACATGGACTTGTAAAACAAGGACTTGTAAAATATGGGCATGTAAAATATGGACTTGTAAAACATGCAATTGTAAAACATGGACTTGTAAAACATGGACTTGTAAAATATGGACTTGTAGAATATGGACTTGTAAAACATGGACTTTTAAAACATGGACTTGTAAAACATAGACTTTTAAAACATGGACTTGTAAAACATAACCTTGTAAAAAATAGACTTGTATAGTCTTGTAAAACATAAACACCAATCTTCGAATCTGCTGGTTTGAGCTCATTAAACACACCATGCACACAACAACACATTACAAGATATCTTGTCACTCTCTGCCCCCAAAATGCATGTCTTTGTATGTCTGTAAATGGTCGTTATTGCCAGTTTTACGTCGTTATCGCCGTCCAATTCCGACGGCAAAATAATAAAGGAGGGGTAGAGAGTGACAAGATATTTTGTAATCTGTTGTTGTGGTAAAACCAACAAATTTGTAGATTTCCTAAGATTGGTGTCCATGTTTTACAAGACACAAGTCCATGTTTTGCAAGTCCATGTTTTACAAGACAATGTTTTACAAGTCCATGTTTTACAAGTCCATGTTTTGCAAGTCCATGTTTTACAAGTCCATGTTTTACAAGTCCATGTTTTACAAGTCCATGTTTTACAAATCCATGTTTTACAAGTCCATGTTTTACAAGACAATGTTTTACAAGTCCATGTTTTACAAGTCCATGTTTTACAAGACAATGTTTTACAAGTCCATGTTTTACAAGTCCATGTTTTACAAGTCCATGTTTTTCAAGTCTATGTTTTGCATGTCCATGTTTCACAAGACATGCAATGTTTTACAAGTCCATGCTTTACAAGTCCATGTTTTTCAAGTCCATGTTTTATGAGTCCATGTTTTATGAGTCTTTAGTTTACAACTCCAGTCCAAACCATAGTCCAGTCTATGTTCTACAACATGCCCGAATCGGCGACAGAGAACTTTTTAATCTAGACTAAGGAAAGACTATGAAGAATTTTTACTGTAATCAGTTACTTAAAGTCAGTGAAGGAGTTAGCTATTTTAAAACGCACTTTCCCGCCCCCAACTCTCTCCCAGCTAAAACGGCGCCAAACGGGGAAATATCCTGGGAATCCATTGAGCCGGTGCAACTGACAAACGTTTTACAAACCTGAAATGGTTTTGAGCTCACTCCTTCATAAATAATTCCATCAGGCAACGATTTGTTGTTCTTCCATCTAAATGAAAACAAGTTTGATATACGTTATAATAATAAGCTCCGCGATCGATGAATAAAAAGCTCGACTCCGTCAAAAATTAATTCAAGGTAGTGTTTCCACAAAAAAACGGCGTACAAAATGACTATTATTGCCGTGCAAACATTCAAAGAACTTATTATAGTTTAAATTGTGTATGAAACAATACTCAATAACTAGTAAAGCATACTATACCCAGTTAGGAATGTCCGTAATTTTGTATAAAAGAAAGCAGGATTGCATTTTTCTATAAACATGGATATAATAAACTATGTCTATTACAATAATCATGATTTACAAGGGTGATCACAATGAAAACGCCGCGGATTATTCATACCAGATATTCTTTTCAACGATATCTTCAATTTTTGAATTGTGTTTCGTAAAATAATCAGGCATGCGCGTAACAGTTCTTGATTGTCGTCAAGAACAGCCTAGTTAAAATAGCGCAAATTAAAGATAAAATAAGGAGGGTTTCAATCCAATTAAAGGATTTAGGAAAGCTACTATTTGTCTTCCGTAGACAGTCGGACGCATCTTTTATTTGCGTCAATTTAAATAATTAATATAGGTATTTGTGACTATTGATCTTCCTGCATTCTTATTGGTCAAAATTCATTACCTTTGAAGTGATAGTCACAGGTCAGTGACCTACTTTTTTCATATAAGAAATTTGAAGTAATTATAAATTTCAGTGTAAATTTCATGAAATTGTGTTCGGTTTCTTATTTGAAAACACCTCGAAATTTATACTAAAACAATTAGTCGCCTCAGGTTCAGTGATAACAATCATCTTCGCGGCTAAAATTATTGTTAAATAACGTTAAACTAGCAGGCTTTCTAATCATGCATAGGAGTGCAGTGGCGAAGGGTTTTGTTCATGTGCGGGATGCCTGCGTTAGAATACTGGATGTGCCCGACCATTAAAGATGTGCCCGACTGTTTACGAAAAGAAAATGGCGGAGGAGACTCGTTCTATCCATAGACCACGGAGACAAGGGACAAATAATTTGTTTTACTTTTACCATAAACTTTTACCTTTTGTGCAGCAGCTACACTCTAGAGTTAAAAAAGTACATATGTTATTTATCGGTGTCACGGTCTGAACCGGTTCGCCCAGTCTGAGTTATCGACTTCGAATAACTGCGCATGCACTGAAAAAGTAGACCATTGAGCGTAGCTTACTGGTTGCAATGTTCCCCCCAGAGTTTTCTACGTTCAATATTTCATCGTTTTTTGGGACGAAAAAGCTATTTATTGTATTATTTGACAGAAGACAGGCTATTCTTAGATCTTACAAGGCCGGTAAGCAACTATTTGTTGAATGCTTGCGGTGTTATTTCTTTATAATTATATGATCTCCATTGCACACTTCGAAAAAACTTACTTGTGAATACAAGCAAGTGTGTATTCAAAAGATTGAGTGAGCGTTTATTCACAAGATTGAATGATCGCCGTTTACAACGACCTTATTCCAATTATGGTAAAAACCGTTGTAAAAGCCGTTAGCGTTCGGTTGAGTGTATTCGAAAACCGGACCGCAAACGAACTTGTTAGGCTGAATAGCGCGAATACCGTACCATTTGGTTAACTGGAAAAATGCAAGTTGGATCCGCGCATGAGATTAGGATTTGCTGATAAAAACTGGTTAGGTTTAAAAGCCTGCTTAGCCTTTCACTGACGCTCATGCAGTGTGGCAAATGAATTCTTAGTCAGCAAGCAAAATCACAAGAAAAAATTATAATATCAGGGTTTACCTTAATTCCTGGAACAGATTGAATTTCTATATCCCAATGAATTAAGAAGAACCAAGCCTCTTCACTTGATCCAGTGTATAAAGATTGCATATCAATGTTGCTACAAGAAATTATGCAAGCGTTTGACAACATACATTGTTTGACAACATAAACGCCAGCTAAGGCTTGTTAACACGGTTGTTTTTAACTCTTTCCCACCGTTGTTAGCCTTAGGAAAAGCCAGGGATATCTAATTGATCAGTAATGATAACACAATTTCCATGTTACACTCAATCATTGTGAGTCTGGGTGAGCTTTTCCAATACAGGCGATATAGTTTTCCCGCATTGCTTTTATCACGAAATTTCCCTATATAATACATTATAGGGTATTGAAGGAGGCCTTTTTTAATACCCTTTTTCCCACAGCTGGTGCCATCATTAAATACCCACCCTGATTGAATAAAATATCTACCTTATATCCAGAGCGGGTCTTCACAAGGTGAAAATTTAAAATAAAAAATAATAGTAAAAAACATTGCAAGGTCCATTGAAAAATTCACATTGCAAGGTCCATTGGTATAATCACTAACCTTGCTTTATCTTTAATTTTCCAGTTATTGATGAGGGATGACCATAAGCAGGCAACAGGGTGCACACCTACATAATATGAAAACGCGTTTTTAATCTACCATTGGGCCGAAACGAATTCATGACTTCTGGTTGTTGACTGTCTTAAAAAATTAATGCACTATTATAATTATTTTAATCAAGAATAGTTCAAAGGCCGATACACATGCACTATAGGCCACAAATATCACTGCAACAAGTCGCTTCGTGCGTACATTCGCGCGGAATGATGATATCATTGCACGCAAGAGCCATAATTACCTGTTGACCAGTCTTGTGGCTGCAACATGGCGCATAAAGTTAAACTGTCTTGATTTGGTGCGACGTGTTGCGTGCGGCAATAAAATTAATTTGCATCGGAGCAGAATTTTTCGCTCCATTTTCTCTGTTTACACTGTGAAATTTGTTGACGTGTTGCAACGACGTGTTGCAGCGATTGGTCGCGTAGTGTATACTGGCCTTAATGTCATGGCTCAGTTGTATAAAGACTAGTTAATTTTTAACTGAAGTTAAAGACAGAATAGACCAATCAAAGTCGTGTATTTCTGGGTTAACTTGGATTTAACTATGCAAAAGGCATTTAAAGAGTCTTAAACAACCGATCCAAGGTGAACAAGGGGAAATTTCGTTTTAGACAAATCAGCAAGTTTGTTTACATTTCAGTAACCCAATCAGAATGCATAAATTTTGATAAAAAGTGCAATATAATTATATCATTTTACATGAGGCATTGAAAATTTAGGCATTCTGAAATTCTGATTGGCTTTACCTGAAAAATGTAAACAAATATGGCGATTAGTTTAAAACGAAATTCCTCCGTGTTCCCAAGGTGTATAACGTGAAGAAATCATTCGGCATTAGTTGTTGACTTTCCTACCGATATGATTTGCAGCTGCGACTAATGGTATTGATAAACACTTCGGGATAATCTAAACGAGATAAATAAAATGCAAACTATATGCATGAGTATAGTGAGTGATACTCCACACTTCAGGGACGGAAGTAATTAGTATACAAAGGCCTGCTGCATCATTATGACGGAAGTAATTAGTATGCAATGGCCTGCTGCATCATTATGACGGATGTAATTAGTATGCAAAGGCCTGCTGCATCATCATGTATTCATGACGTGCCCTGCTCTTTTAAGACCTTAACCCCTGCAGTGAACTGTAATCAATAACTGGAACAATACCTCCTCATTGTTTTTGTGAAGCCAAAATTTGCGGGACTTTACCTCCAGACACACGTGTCTGAAGGTAAAGTCCCGCAAATTTTTGGCCTCATTGGCGGGTGACTCGCGAGATCACGGCAGATGCAGAGCGAATTTGAAAGTAATTTGTTTTTTCGTTTATTTAATGGTTTTAAACGTTTTTTATAGAATTATAATGTTAATCTTAAATTCCACCAGGTGAACTGTTTTATGATTTACGAATGGATTTGCCGATTGGATTGGCAACAAATTCTCTTAAACGGAACAAGTTTACAGCGATGTGCAATTTTTACAACAATATTTGTACTACAATATTTGTACTTATAGCGGCCTGCAAAGACGCTAGTCAAAGAGCTATACAAAGCTAATAACGTACATAAAAATGTTAAAAACAATCGCCCATTTTTTTGCTTGGTTGTGCTTTTGGAACGCTTATATTCCACAAAGACGGAATAAAATAAATATTATCTAACATTTTGCCGTATATACATTAATTTTCTCGCTTTCGCAGTTTAAGTATATGCAAGCTAAATAGACACAAAGTCGACCAAAGTTTGAAACATTTATTTCCTTATACAGCTGCTTGTAATCACGACAATATATTCCCGTGGTTTAAAAGCATAGTGTTTACATGAAACGTTAAAGTTTTTTTTATCGATTTAAACATGATTTTGCTGTAGTTCGTCAACAATCACGTCGAAACCACTCATCGTGCACGAACAAGATCCAAATGAATACAGACGTCAGACAAGCAAGCAGCGTTATATTTATGAAATATATATTATTGAACTTCCATAAGCTATTGCTTTTATTGGTGATGCCATCGGCATTCCAATATATATTCAACATAAGAATTGTACAAACGGCTGTGAAATTAAGGAAAAACGTGCATAGGTTTATTTATATATACACACATAGACTCATAGTCAGTTTACTCTGCACTATGCATTATGTTATACAATCTATCAAATGTTATGTTCAGGATTGCTTAATAACAGTCTGTTTGTGCCTTCGTTGTCATCGGGAATTCTCCCATGTATTCAGCGTATGCGTCGTGAGGATTTTCCCGTGCGCTGAAAAGGTAAAGCCTGTTTCGGATACCATATACGTGTACAGGGCTGGATTACTCTGCAAAAGGCCAACTCTCTGAATGTGAGGAAAGTGGTCTTAGTCAAAAGGATTCTCTGGTGCGATTTTTTATTCAAAAAAGCCACAAGATTTTTCTCTGTCGTTTGGGCGGCAGAAAAACAGACGACCTTAATTTTCTCCTTCCTTTTTAACTTTTCGCACACAACAGTTTAACCCGTGCTGGCACTTCGGTTTCGGGAGCTCTAATCTGTCACCCAATTCTCAAAAGTTACACGGATTTTTACGATCGCATGCAGCAAACAAAAAACGCTTTCCCAAAAATGCGTTTACTTACATCCTTCACAACTCTCATCCTGCTAGGTCTTTGGTGGGTATCACACAGTGGACGAATTGCACCATTCGCCCTCCACATCATCATAGCCGTATCAAATAGCGAACGATCTTGTTCAGGGCAAAAGAACTCACAACATTTAGGGTTGTTCTTGTTGCAAACCCAAAACATTCCTTTCTTCGTAGAGATTGCGGTCGCACGACCTCCATGTAAGCACTCCATTGCTGTGTTTTCTGGGGCAATTTCTGTTCGATGTGCGATATTTATGTGCAAGCTTCCCTTCGTTTGGAGAGGAACATGTTTTGGTTCGTCCTGTTATAAAATCTATTACCGTTAATGTCGCATAAACGCGTTTAGACAAAACCGACAATCGATCATTCATCAACTGACAATGTGTTCAGTCATATATTTAATTATGCCGGCCTTAATGACCCTTGCCATTGTCCTATACCATGTGCAATATGAAATTCCCCTTGTCGCTTTGAGAAAATCGGTTGAAAGGGATAATCAAATTGCACAAAGTAAAACTGGCAACTTGGATAGCAACCGCGATTGTATTGCGTCAGACCATAAGAGCTTTATTCCGTAGCTGACCAAGTGAATTCGTCTTAAACCAGGTAAGCGAGGATATCGTTTGCGTAAAAACTAATATCAATTAAATTACAATTCTATCAAAATTTAATGACTGCAAACAGAAAAAAGCATAGTGCCAGGAGTAGGAATCGAACCCACGAAGTGCAACGAACATTAGATCTTAAGTCTAACGCCTTTACCAACTCGGCCATCTTAGCATTTTGTTTTTTAAAGTGATAAATATCTAAAAAACTCGCGTTGTTTGCGACAAGAATAAATTAACAGAAAGTTGTTATGAATACATAATGAACTCCTAAAAGAGTGGAAACGAGTAACATATATATATATATATAACCTTGGGGTGATAGTCGGATGCGAATCGGGTTGAATAATTAATTAGGGTTAAGGTCTTAAAAGAGGAAGGCACGTCAAGAATACATAATAGGGACCTTAAGCATGTAGGACGGCAACACGACTACGACCTGCTGAAATT